TTTAAACTCCCATAAACTTTAATATTACACGTTTGCAGAGTTGGGAAGTAACGCGTTACTTGTAACGACGTTACTATTTCGTTACTTTTTTTTGGTAATGATTTGGTAACGCCGTTACTTTTTTGTTTCAATAACGAAAAAGTAATGGCGTTACATTTTCTTTAGTAACGAGTAATGAAATTCATCGTTACTTATATCGTTACTTTTTACTATGATGGGTTCTGTACACAGAACGCGGCAACGCTTGCCATATGATAAACAATTAAGGTGCTGCTTTCTGTAAAGGCCATTCTACAATAAGCAATAAATTTTAAGTCATAATAAAATCGACCAATCATAGTCGATTATTAGAAGAATAATCCACTATAATTGGTCAATTTTATTGCGACTTAAATTTTATTGCTTACTGTAGAAAGCTTCTAAAGCGTGACCTACAATGAGAACTTAATCCATAAAATTTATGCTTTAATCTCTAAACCGTAAGAAATTATTTTTCTTATAATTGACTGTGATTGATCAACTTCTTACGGCTTAGGATTTAAAGCTTAAATTTTATGGCTTAAGTTCTCATTGTAGACCACACTTAAGGGGCGTCGCACAAGAATTGACATAACAGTAACGTAAGACGTACCGTAAGAACTGACCAATCACTTTGAGTATCGTCGAACCGTAAGGTTACCATTTTTGTGAATACTCGATTGTAATTGGTCCATTTTTACGGTACGTCTTACCTCACTGTTATGTCAATTCATGTGCGGCGTCCCTAAACCCATTCTACATTAGTCGCAATCGCAAGATCGCAAAGAAATTGTACCAATCATAATTGATTATTCTTCGATCGCAAAGAGAACAATCGACTATGATTAGTCAATTTCTTTGCGACCTTGCGACTTGCGACTAATGTAGAATGGACTTTATGTCGTTATGCAATAATGTGTGCTTCCCGCTTATATTTTGTCTTTATATATGTATAATTTATGTACAGTCTCTTCTACTATTCGTTTTATATGCCGATTTTAACTTTTTTTTTTTACAAAAGTAACGGTAAGTAACGATTTTTTTATCGTTACTTTTCAAATAACGGTAACGCGTTACTTTTTAGAATCAGTAACGAGTAACGTTAACGAGTTACTTTTTACCGCAAGTAACGGTAACGGTAACGTGTTACTTTCAAAAATAACGTTCCCAACCCTGCACGTTTGTACTATTAAGATAACACTGCTACATTCGTGTTCTTTATTATTCTTAGAAACCCTTATTTAGTTATATATTTAGTCTTATTTAGTTATTTATAATTGTATATAAAACAGTTTTTATATAATGGGCAGTTAAGTAATAAAAGTTTTAAGTATTATTTTGTCAAAAGTAAGTTACAATGTATATTTTTATGTTATTTAAACATTGTAGTAAGTAAATCACCTAAAAATATACTGTGTTCAGTAAATTTAAATAAACTAAAGATTATGTGTGTAATTGTTGGTATATTTCGTAACAAACTTTAAATAATTTTATGTAACTTCAAATAACAAATAACTTTTTGTAAAAGAAGCGTACGCTGATCTTTCAGTTCCCGCAGGTTTTTCAAATACAAAGGTTAAGTGGTTCATGTGAAAAATTGTGCTAAAATTTCATCTTGGAGATTTTTAGCGATACGTTAAAAGCGAACATTGTACGTCGTAATACCATCATTCGGTGATCACCCATTCTTTCCACTAACTACCCTTATAGAAATATCATACTAAGAATCATTGATAATTACTTATTTTCAGTATTAAAAATACTGGATAGTAAGTAATTATCAATGATTCTTAGTATGATATTTCTATAAGGGTACAGCATAACTTATTTAACTCAAACAAGCATAAACAAAGAAGTGATGCCAATTAGCTCTGACTAGTTTGCGGAGGCACTTAAAACAAATATTTAAAAATATATTTGCATGATATAAAATTTATTTCTGTAAAATAAAGTTTATTCCTATACACAAATGTGTTACACAATATACTTTATATCCCAAAAATAAACATTGAAATGTACTTTTTCTCAGTATTTCTAGTTGTAAAATGATGCTCATAACTATATAATATGTTCAAAAAGCTATTTTATGCTATACTTAGCGCTAATCGTGGAAAATAATGCGATATATAACGGTTAATATTATGCAATCATATATATACTTTGTTTGAACAGAATGAACAATTTTTACCCAGATACGTTTTAGAACATAGCCGATAGCCAAACAATGAAAGAATTACTTTTTCAGCGATAACGTAAAATTAACCTTTATGATTTAATAGATTATAGGATATATGCAGGAATGTATCAGAAAAGTGCTCAGAACGTATTAAGGCAAAATTTATACATGCTATCTCTTTACAAAAGCAGGAGGGTGAAACATAATATTTATTTACTAACGAATGTATACTATTAAAAAAAACTATATTTCATTGGCGATTATGATTACACTTGTATTTAGTTTACAATAAAACGTGAAAATTCGTAAGGCACTAATATTTCCAAGATTGTTTTTCTGTTTTTAATATATTTTGTCTATTTAAAAAGTAAAAATTATAACAGATGCAACGACTTATACTGATTACAAGGTACAGCATAAAAGTATAACTTATATAAAATGTTTTACAATTATTCCTATTACAAATCATTAGCAGAACACGCAGTCGATAAAGGAAGAATTTACGAGATAATTACATAAAACTCATTATGGAATGATAGTAGCTGAATGTAATACCTATAACCACGGAATAACATACGACAAATTGTAAAATTTTAAGACATTATGTATGCGATAATCATTCTGTTATTTCATATATAACATGGTATACGTATTTTGAAAGAATTAGAAATTAAATACTATTCACTTGTGCCTGAATATGTCCCTCTATAAGAAAACTATTATCTATTCCTGAATTCTATTAAAAATATAGTGTCATCAAATCTACATTAAAATGAAATTATGATCAAATAACACATTACTTTTAGCCATGGACAGGGTCGGTCACGTGATTTGAATTCATGAATACATTATAAAATGTGCATTTCGGTAAAAAAATCCTCCAGTTATATAGTTTCTATATGGTGTACAACTGCGGAATTTATTTTTTCTGTACAATCGTCTTCTGCTTATACCCGTTTCTTCTTGTATTTTATCTACATTCCCTTCTACTGTACTTTTCGAATCTGCGGTTAAAAGTAACGGACAATTTTGCGCTACTACTGCTTTTATAGATTTAAACCATGTTCTTACGAAAACAGTTTCTGTTTCAAGTAGTACAATCACATTTGGTTGCTCAAAAGACTCTAAGTGTACGTAATCGTTGTACGGCTCTGGTACATATGTAACATGAAGTTTCTGTCCATCACGTCTGCACATAGAGCATACAGACCCTAGATATTTGGATTCGAGTATTGGCGATTTTATAAATACAATACGTAGTTCTTTTATGTCTTTAAAGAAATGTAAGAAAATATGCCAAAATTGCGAAGAT